TCAAAAGTAGTCAGGTTGAGCCTTTCAGATCAAGCTTAAAGTATCTTTTTTTTTTTTTTCTATTTTAGCACTTTGGAGAATGTATACTTGTCCATTAAAACATTAAGACTGAATATTTGAATTTACAATGTAGTTCATTGTGCTATTCCATTAGCCCACCACTTACTGAATTAGAGCCATGTGACATTTGGCTAATTAAGAAAATAAGAATATATTAAAATGCTTGATGTGAATAGATGTAATTTAATTATAGCATTCAAAAATCACTTTGGTACTTCTACAAATCTACTCAATTTTTACTTTTATAATATCAAAATTGTATTAATTATTATTTAAATCTGGAGAAGTCTATATTGATCAGTTAGTCAAACTCCCTCTCTTTATAGTTGCAGAAACTGAAACACAATAATAAATAATGAGGTTATTTTCAATCAACATTATGACTTTCCTTTGGTAAAAAATACCGTATTTCATCTATTTTTAATTAAGAAGAATATTGAACATTATTGGAAAGAGTTTGAATCCTATATGCAAGTTAGGTATCATAAATTAGATGGATGTTTAATCAAACCTAGCAAAGGATCTAATACCTTACATTACATTTGCACTTAGTTTTTTAATAGAAAAGAGATTTCTGAGCCACATTCAACAAAACTCTTTGTAGTGATAGAGAAGTGGAGAAAAGGTGAGTAGATTGTACAGGAGAAGCTGCAGGGCCTCCACTCACGCTCGACAAAAACATAACAGATGCACAGATTTTTAGATGGAGGCATATGAAAATGCCAATTATTAATTTCTTATAACCACAATCAGTTTAAATTTTCAGTTTTTGAACCTCTTGTTCCACTCTCTTTTCTCTAATGTATTTTCTTCTCTATATTTTCTTACAGTTTTTAATATCTGAGAGACTTCACATTGTTTAAATTTGAACAAAGCTTTATAATCAAGATAAAAGTACTCAGTTCAACTCTCTTTATTTTTATAAACACCTGTGTTCTCTCATCTTTTAAATTTTCTTATAATTTTTACCATCTGTTATTAATAAGGTGAATTGCTTGCCACTCCCCAAGGAAGTCATTCTCTCTCTCTCCTGCTTCTGTGTTTAGCTGTGCTCTGCCCTATCTCTAGAACTATTTTCCACAAAAGTCATTTCCTCCATCATGATTTTCTCAATGCCTTCAGATACATGTATCTGCTGCTCCATCAGGTATTTCTAGTCTCTTTGCTCTGAGCTTTAATATCATTCACAGGACCATGTCTGGCACAAAGGTACATAAAATATATTGATTATAATATATCAACATTTGATTGCTATCACAAATTGAGAAATTATATGTTGTCCCTACTATATATTATTTTTGGATTATGTCTTTTCTAAGAAGAGCAAACTAAATATAGATTAAGTACATCAAATAAATACGTATTTAAAAGTAGTAGATATTGGGCGCCTGGGTGGCTCAGTTGGTTAAGCGACTGCCTTCGGCTCAGGTCATGATCCTGGAGTCCC